GTATGAGTCTGATCTGCTAATCATACTCTCCTGTTCTGACAGGCATGCCACTAACTATATGCATACACTCAAAGAAATGCACAAAAGTCAAATGTTTGGAATTTTCTAAGTGTAAAGATTAAACAAAAGTTTAGGGTTTCATTATACTTCTGTAGATGAAAGTAAACCCACACTCCTTATTTATGCTCTGCCATGTGGAAGTACCTTTTCTCAGTAAAAGTGCCCATCTTGTTCTCTCTATATCTGGCTCATGTCTCCTGACTCCACCCATCTCCTTTCTATCATCCTTAGTTTGATTGTCCCATCTATACTTCCTAAGTGGCTACTGACCAGTCAGCATTTCATTAATTCTGTGACAATTCGAGTGACAAATCTTTACAATGTACAGGAAGGTTAGGATCTCATTACTCTCATGTGGATAAAAGTACCACAAATTTTTATATCAATACAGAGTTAAAAGGCCTTCTTCTATTTAAGCATCATTTGTTATTTGGGTGTTAAATTTCTGTTCTCTACAACAAAATTTATGATATATATGAAAAGAAATGCCATAATGAAACCTAAGATGTTGTAGGTGAGTGTAAAAAAAACCTAGCACATAAAACACACATATATAGTGCTTGCATTCCTTATATTTTTTCATATCTTCCTTTCATTCTTAAAAACATTTTTATTGTTTTAATATTTCTTTTAATGTATAAGTCATTATTTGAATTTCAGTGTAAGCTGAGAACTCTAATGTGGACTCCTCAGTTTCCTTCTATAGTTCTTTATGAAGAACTTCTTTCTTGCCTCTAAAGATTCTAGTGCTGTGGAAGAATCTTCCTGTATATTGTAAATATTTGTCACTCGAATTAATAAAATGCTGACTGGTCAGTAACCAGGCAGGAAGTATGGGGGGGCAACCAAAGTAAGGATGATAAAGAGAAGGTCAGAGTCAAGAGATGCGGGCCAGGCCGACAGAGCAAGATGGGTATGCCTACTGAGAAAAGGTACTGCCATGTGGCAGAGTGTAAATAAGGAATATGGGTTTACTTAAAATGTAAGAGATAGTTAATAATAAGCCTGAGCTATTGGTTGAGCATTTATAAGTAATATTAAGCCTCTGTGTGATAATTTGGGAAGCAGCTGTTGTGTATTTGGGACCCAGAAGCTCTGAGACAGGAAACTTTCACCTACATTCTAGTCTTTGCAAGTGCTCACATATGCTAAGATGTGTACTTTAAGAATTTATCTGAAACACATAAATTAGTATTAATGTAGAAGATTCTGTATAAAATAATAGCAGAAGAATAAAAATAATATAAAGATCTCAGGCTATAGAAATACACTGTAAAATTATTACCACTTTGGTCTTATACTTATTTTAAAAACTGCTTGGATATATCCTAACCATGTAATGACAAATATATACTACAACAGAATGGTATCTAAGGGCCAAAGCGAATGAAGACTGACACACCTCATCGTATGAACAGTGAAAGTTATGGAAATTTTTATCCTAACTACAGTGGCCCAAATCCAGTCAAGGATGATGCTGTGAAAGGCTCAGTATTTCTCTCACAACACCCTGCCCTTACTTTTACAAAGACCAATTTCATTATTTCTGCTATGGGTGACATAGCACACATACAAGTCAACAAAGTTCAGGCAAATTTTCTAGCACTACGTGGACTTACTTGGAATATAAAACGACTATTTCACCAACAACAAGGCAATAGAAGTTAAGAACATATCTGGACAAGACTTTCTGCTGAGTTTTCCATGAAAGACAAAACATTAGCAAACAGTGATGTAAAGAACTGAAAAAGGAGCACTAGTGTTATATATTCAAAACATTGAATGATGCATGTACCTATAAAGGTTTTTGAGCATACTTCCCTTTATGAAGTTTACGTCAGTTGCATTTTGTATCTTATTTTAGTAGGTTCCATAACATTACAGCAATGTTATCAGCACTTCAGTGAAAGCTTCCTTATATGTAGGAGTCCCTTTCCAGTGAAATTAAATAAGTTTTCATAGTTCATATGGTGTCTTAGGGTTACTATTGCTATGATGAAACACCATGAACAAAGCAACTTGGAGAGAAAAATGTTTATTCAGCTTACACAGCCACATCACTGTTCATTATCAAAGGACATCAGGACAGACTCAAACACTGGCAGGAATCTAGAGGCAGGAGCGGATGCAGAGACCATAGAGGAGTGCTGTATACTGTCTTGCTTCCCATGGATTGCTTATACTGCTTTCTTATAGAACCCTGGACTGACATCCCAAGGATGGCATGCCCCATAATGGGCTGGGCTCTCCCACTTAAATCATTTATTAAGAAAATGCCCTACAGGTTTGCCTATGACATGGTCTTATGGAGGCATCTTCTCCATTGAGGCTCCAATCTCTCTGATTATGCTTGTGTGTATCAAGTTACATAAAACTAGCCAGTACACATAACTAATGTGCTGTGACATGAACAAACCAGGTGACCCCGCTGCATGTTCCACACTTTTAACCACTTGGCTATTGGGACACACTGTGTAGAAGGAGCTAAAACTGATGACTTTTCTGTTTTCCACTTACCACTGAAGAGTTCTCTACTATTATGGATAAGATCTAGAATAGTGAATTTGACTCATCCCAGTCTGCAGTTAACTCATTCTGCTTACTTTTTAAAATTCTTTGAGATTTCCCTACAACCCAACATACTTAGTGAGTTAAAGTCAATGTAGATTCTACCCTTAAAATTAGAAGTACAGTATAGTTAGCCCATCTATCCTTTGTAGGTAGATGAGAAAAACAATTTTTTTTCAAAAAGTGCTTAACATTTATACCATCTAACACTTTGAATGTGTGTGTGTGTGTGTGTGTGTGTGTGTGTGTGTGCACTAACATTTTAGGGCCGCCCATGGCTACTTCTAAAGTCCTTAAATTATAGTTGGGGAACACAATATGCTGAAAAATGAAATCTCTTTAAATCTATGTGAGAAGAACATTCCACCCTAGGACAATATGATAAAAAAAACCCTACAGGTTACTTAAGAGTAAAGTTTGTATCAAAACTTTTTATGCTACTTTAAGGAGGTCATGTATTTCTTACTAGCTTTTCTCTGGAACAAGAATCATATACAGTGACAATAAATAATGATGAACAAGAAAAATAGCAGTGGATCAGAGCAGTTCATGTCATTAGAAAGCATCCTGTTTTCAAGGTCAAGGGAAGTTTCCTTCTCAACTACTTGGTTCTAACAAGTGTGAATGCTAACCTTCCAGCTTCAGAGGTTTTTAAAAGCTGTAGGAGTTGTGTTAGCAGTGGTCACTGATTTGCACACAAAACACTATCACAGATACTTTTACCAGCATTTATGGGAACATTTATGCTTGGAAGGAAAGCAACTCAGTTTACTTGACTTGAAAATGCACAATTAGCATTTCCTACATACTTATTTTTATAACTGACCAAGAAATTCTTTTAATCCTAATCAATCATCCCCTGTTTACTCTGGCAAGCTGGGGATGACAAGAAAACATCTGTGGGGCATAGCTTCTAAGTTTGTGAAATTTGCTTCTTTGTTCCTATTTAGACCAACTTCCCAAACGCCAAAGAACCTTGATTTTCACCATGTCCAAGAAAACGATTGAAAAATTAAACCCTATTCTTTATTAATATAAGAACTATTATTTGTTAATATAAGAAATAGCTTATTTTAATTAAATTTGATTAATTAGAAGACATTTTAATTTGTGAAAAGAAGGGGAAAATTTTAAATTATTCCTAGGCATTTTGTTATTTTTGCCCTCAAAGGATAAAGATTTTTTTAACAGAAAGATGGTAAAGTAGGATGGTAAAGTATCTACTGAGTATAAGCAAAGGTAGACCCCTTATTTCTATTAAAAGTGCCTAATAAATACATAACCTCAAAGCCTGTGATCATTAGTCTTTTGTTTGGTGTTCAGGTATTTAGCTTGGACAATTTTAAGTGTGCTCGCTATTACACCCTTTTGTTTGCCTGAAAATATGAAGGGCAGCAGTAGAATCAGCAAAAATCATGGTGCCAGAAATTTTCTATGAAAAAGTAAAATTTTTGTATTTATTTATTTGTATTTTATTTTTTATATTTATGAGTGTTTGTTTGCATGCCTGAAAGTGCACCACATGTGTGCTGGTATCCACATAGGCAGGAGGAGGGCTTGGGATTCTTTAGAACTGGAATTACAGGTAGTTGTTAATCCCCTGTGAGTGTTGGAAACCAAATCTGGGTCCTCTGCAAGATCAACAAGTTGTCTTAACTGCTGAGTCTTCTCTTCAGCCCAAATTTTGCATCTTAAAAACATTTAGTTTATTCATAAAGAAGTTTTCCCAACTTTATAGATATATTACATCTTAGGTAGTTGCATAAACTTTATCTTTTCAGCATTAAGAATCAAATCATAGCTGTCTTTCATAGTTTTGCATCGAAGCATTCTGCCCAAGGGCTTCGAACCTCCCCTTGTGAATACCTTACACAGCTTAGTCACTATCATCTATTACATAATATATTTCTATAGTTTGACTTGTTTTCCTAAAAGGACAGTATTTCCTGTTCTTAAACTGTCAAGTTGTTACCACGCAGCTGTGGCTAGGAGGGAGCAAAGTTCCATGTGAATACCATCCTTATATAAACACATTCTCAAACACCTTCCTGAGTGGCCTTTATTTACTCTCCATCAGCTGAAGATAAATGGCTGAGTCCGAAGCAAAGGGTAAATATGTTACTCCCCCACAGCCATGACCTCTTACCCTTTTGGTGGCATTACTGTGATGGAAATAATCCACAGTGGCTCAGTATGACCCACATTAGTTTCTGCATTCCTGGGCTAGCAAAGATCACTGATTATCCTGCCAGTGAAAACAGGGTCCAGGCAGAAGAGATTCTGAAGGCTGAATGATTTTCTCAAACGGCTAAGATAGCAAGTTATTTTACAGTCAAAATTGCATTTAGTGATTGCTTCATTCAGTCACATACCTGGTAAGTCAGAAAAGAGAAGGATGCATTCATTGAATCCATTAGCCAAGAGCCGGTCCCGCAGCTGCTGGAGGATGGCTACTCCAATGCAGAACGGGAAAGAGGAATTTCCAAGTAGCAATGTATCCCAGAGGTGGAAAATTTTGTGCAGAGGAAATACATCTGTAGAGAGAGTTTTAAAAATGTATCTAAACAAAAACCAAATTTCTTAAAAATAAAATAGCTGCACTATTAGATATACAATGATTATTACTTCAAGGTCAAGGCTGTTATTTAAGAGCAAATGTGTTAAGCTGTGTTGATAAAATGCTTACATACATGCAAGTGTCTATGGGTCAGTCTATGGAGAACACGAGACCTCCTCAAGCTTGAATTACAGGGAGCTGTGAGGCACCCAGTAATGGTATTGGGAACCAAACTGGTGCTCTGCAAGGGCAGCAAGTTCCCTTAACGACTCAGCCAATTCTCTAGCCTGATTCTATTATTTTACAGCTTCCTAAGGCCCTTTAGTAAACTGTTAGCAGATTGGTCAGACATTACATATTCTGACTCCCATTATATATATATATATATATATATATATATATATATATATATATTACATATATATACACACACATATATATATGTATGTATATATATCCACTTCAGAATTTATCCCAGAACTTTCAATAACATTATCCACACAAGTTTACATCTGTAAAAGAACCTATAACATTTCCATTGTGCATCATATAACAACTGCTTTATTAAATTCCTACCAAAATTGTATTAATTAAAAAAGTAACTTCTATTTTACTTAATAGTACTGTGAATATCTTTCTAGGACCATGCAGGAAATTGTTTCAAATGTCAGTTCACTTATGTGCACTGCATTTAAGCATGGATGTCCCCTTCCATTATAGCCACACTGTAATGATTAAAGCATTACATAGTCATATAATATGATTAATTTCTAGAGGATTCCCAGTTAGGAAATAAAACCATGAGTTTATAAAGAACATCTAGAAAGCAAGCCAATTCAGTTGAAAACTGGCCTCAAAAGCTTGCTGCAAATACTAGAGTTGATGCTGAATTCTCTTCTTAAAAAGAAATAAAGCTGTATATGACATGCGAAGATTTTATTCCTTTCCAATGTTCTTTTGAACTTTAAAGGCCAGAACACTTGAAATTTCTGTCTATAAATTACATCATGTTGGAATTTTATAAAGATGCACATTACATTTACTTACTATTCTCATAAATGTTAAATTCTGAGGAAGAATGAGGTGCTTTAGCTAACACTAAAGGGGAAATGGTAAGAAATGGTACTTACGAGTGAACATGGTAAGAAACCAAGGAATGGCATAGAGCTGGAAGCAGACCAGGAGCACAGACATGGACGAAAAGAACAGAAGAGGCATAATTAGAATGATCATCACCAAACTTAATGGTTTAAAAGTTTTGTTATATTCCACTAAAAAACTATGAAAGAATGCAGGTAACTAAAGTTATTATCACAAATACTTTATTATATTTTTCAATGAGTATGCCTATGACCATGGCCAAATCAAATGCAATAATAGTACATAAATTTCAAGTGCTATGGAAAAATTATTTCTCAGATTTTAAAGTTCCTTACGATAGTTAATCTTTGGTGTCAAGTTGACAGAGTATTAGGATACTCAGATAAGTGAATACACACTATTTTGGGATGCCTCTCTCAGTATCTTTTCAGGCGGAACTAACTTTTGAGAAAGTGCTAAGTGGACTGTTCTCCCAGTATGAGTAGGCATCACCCAGGCCACTGAGGAGCCTGTAGAGAAGGAGCGGAGGAAGAATAAACCTGCCCTCTTGGTTCTGCCTCTCTGCTTGAGTTGGACATTGCATTTCATCTATTCCTGTTCTTGGATTGGATTATTGATAGATAGCAAGTCTTAAAAGTAAAGATAATTTGTGAGTGAATGCAGGCTACAATTAAACAAAGGCTTAGACTACCTACTTAGGTCAACGCCCTACCCACACCTATCAATTATACATTTATGAGGGAGTAGCCTGCCGTCTTGGCATTGTATACACAAGAGTATGTATGCTAGCAAAAGGCCCGTCAAGAACTAAACGTAAAAATATATAGTTCATTATAATATAAACTATACTATAACAAAACAATAAACACTGATTTCCACATCATCACTGGCTTGAGATGACAGGCTGAGAACTTTTTCCAGGATGTTGCCAATGTAACAAAGGGAGTTCAGAATGATATGTGGCTTCAAAGCAAATAGTGTGCACTATACAAAATAATAAAATCTAGCAAAGTATAAATTCTGTATCTTAATTTAAATTGAAAGACATAATGGTGATTTAATCACATTATTTGACCTTTATTTTAAGGACATAGCATCAATTATATTAACACTGACCATTCTGATGAGAGTCAATTGTTTGTCACTAAGAATCACTCGATAAATTTTATTAGTGCTACTACACTTTGCACAATTCATTCTGCGCACTTCTGTTCATCATCCAACATAAAATGTTTGTACTGCGTGCAGAGGAAGCAGATGTGTTAAAGAGACTGAAATACTCTGTAGTTATGTGGTACAACAGCAGAGGTAGTGGCTGGGGCATCAATGGCAAGGTCGCAAAAGCTGATGACCTCTTTTACCAAGATGGTACCTTGTGGGTAAAGGTTACTTCACTCTTCACTCATTCAGCAAACATGGACTGAACACTTAATACATGCCAAGACTGTTGGCAGACACACAGGATAGGGCAGGGACGAGGTTAGTCATAATTCTAAGGAGCTGCGAGTAAAGAGCAACATTTACTCATTTCGTAGTTTCTCATTTCATTCCAATTGGGCTTTTGACGGTACCCACCAAAGAAACTGTGTCCTGGACAGTGATGGCTTTCATGCTATTAAATCTTTCTGTTAAATTTTTTAAACCATTCAGTAAGGTCAGACATTGTTGACCCCTCTCACTTTATGAGAACACATTTTCTCTTTATTTGGCTTCGAGACAACATATGCATCTACTTTTCTTTCTTCTAACATTTTTTTTTTACTGCTGCTTATCCATTTTTTGTTAGTTTGTATGCTTGCTTCTCCCCACTTATTTTTTTTCATCCTTCTCGTTTTGAAATGCAGGACTGTTATAGTTTGGTTCCTAGACACTTTATTTTTTCTGTTTTTCTTCCAATACTAATTGCAGTATGAAGACTGGCATATTTCTAACTCTACTCCAAGCCCACTCCCATAAATTCTAAACATACATTTCAAAATGCCTATTTATATCTCAGTGTATATGTCAAACATCTATCTGTCTGTCTGTCTATCTATCTATCTATCTATCTATCTATCTATCTATCTATCTATCTATCTTCACTTGAACTCTTGAGACTTCCTCCAAACTCTGTACTCCAAACATACATTTCTACATCCAGTTAAGATCACCTTTTCCTTCTGCTTGCTAAGATAAAAACAATTTTGCAATTGTTCGTAACTCCTCTTGTAAACACTGTGTATTTGCCACCAGCAGTCTTGTTGTCCTACCTTCAAAATACTGATCTGTGACTAGTGAAAATTCCTCATTACCTCTATTGCTAATATCCAGATTAAAGCCGCCATATCTCATGCCCTTCTTGTTCCATAGCTATAACAAACCTACAACATTCTGTCCTTCCTTGTTCTTGGATTTCATCCAGTAAGATGTCAGAATGATCTTGTTGCAATGTTACAATGGCAATCACTATTCTATTGAAAATCCTCTTCCTTTTTTTTTTTTTGCTGAAATAAAGCCAGTGGTGATGATGTATCCGTAACACTAGAAGTCCTTTCCCCTCCATATCCTGCCATGTGACTTCATGTTTGCTCATTGGGCTCCATTTACAGTGGATATTCCTTCAACATCTCTGGTATATATCAAAATTTTTTATGTTTAAGAATTTTCTTAGTATGTATACCATCCAAGTGCCTGGAGGCCACAGGAGAGAGTCAGATCCCCTAAAACTGGGATTACACAGGATTGTGAGCCACCATATGGCGCTGAAAAAAGAACTTGAGCCCTCTGCAAGAGCACTTAACTGCCAAACCACCTCTCCAGACCCACTATTTTTCTTTTATTATATAGTTCCACAAAAATATGACGGCACAGATTTTTCTCTTTACCCTTTTAATGTATTCAGAGAATAGAATAATACATAGTAAATAATAGGCACTGAACTATTAGTTTCAGCAATGAAGGAAATACAAAATGGAGACATCCAGAATATAAAACTAAATACTCCTAAGATTCTACTTTCCTGAGAAGCGTTCAAAAAAGCATTCAAGGATGAGGAAAGGACCCAATCTCTAACTCCTCTATGGGGAAGAACATTTTGATATTAAATAGGAGTACTGGACACATCATCAAATCTACTTCATTAGACACATACTTCAATAACAGTTATTTTTAAAGTGTTTACAATTAGGAGAGTGAAACTTACTCCAATGTTATTAGAAAAGTAACAATCCAGATTCAATTAACATATTTAAGATAACTCAGTGACCCTAAGGTAAGGTTACTAGCACCAGATTCTTCTTACCAATAATATTAAGACCAGGGAAATATAATGATACTATGTGAAATGTAATTCCCCTATTGTTTCTCCATTTTTTTCATTTTAAAATATTTATTTTTAATATTTTTATTTTGAGGGGGTGTTTTGGACTTGGATATTGAGTTCAAGGTCATTAAAGCATTGTGACATAAATATGTCCTTAGCCTTCTTTTAACATTTTATTTTCATACTTATCTTACTAAGTTGTCCAGGCTGCTTCCAAACCCAAGACCCTCTGGAACAAAGGTAAGTCTTTACCTTTTGAATCTTTTCCCTCAACCTCCCAAGTAGCTGGGATGACAGACTTGTTCCATGAGGCCCAGCTTAATTCATATCCTTTGTCTTAAACAATTTCTCAAACTATTACTATAGTTTAAAATGGAATCTGATATACATAAAGATACTGGAATAAGATACTTTTGAATAACAGATTTTCTTTTTAATGGCTCTAAGTATTGAAATACTTCATTATAAATACAAAAATACATGGAACCGCAGATATTTCCCAGTTTCATGTTAAGAAGCTAAAAAAAAAAAAAAAAAAAATCAGTATTGTCAATGTTCCGAGTATTCTCCAGGATCACAGATGCGAGCCTGACATGGCAATGGACTTGTCTGTAGCTAAGTAAATGCTGCCCCCTAGCCACAACCAGCAAGAACTGACATTTAGCCAGTGTTCTCTGTACTGGGTAACACTTGGCAAAACCAGAAGTCAGTGAGCTCATAAATACTTTTATGTGTTATCTATTATTTGAAAAATAGTTCTTTCTACTTTGCAATTATAGATATGTCACGTATAAATCTGTAAGTATTTTCTTAAAATATTCATTATCCCATTAAAACTATGTTGTGAAATATTTTATTTTAGTCACATAGGAATTATTTTATTATCACCAATAAGTTATGTGTAATTGTGTTTAAAAACACAAGACTAGCAAGAAAACAGTAAAACAATGGAATGTCTTTGTTACTCTAAAATTGCCTTGGTCCATTTTGTATTCCCATGATATAATTCCCCAGACTAGGTAAATGGTGAAAGTTTTGTCTGACTCACAGTCTTAGGACCAACAAGGTTGAGAATCAGGTGCATCTGGCTAGGAACTTTTCTTGTGCCAGGACACCTGGTAGAAACACTGGTGAGAGTGGTGAGCAGTAAGTGTGGGAGAGAAAGAAAAGAGTGTCAGGATTGATTTGTAACAATAAAATAGTCTGTGAGGTCTGCCTCACCTGTGTGATATATAATTCTCAAAAAATGAGGGTAGCGAAGTCTGGTGTTCTAGTCACTGTTTTTACTGGGTTGACATTTATGCTAACAGTGCAAGGGTTCAAGTGGATAAAACAGCAGAAATCAAGACAATGGCTCCAAAGTGTGATAGTTATGTTTGTAAAGTTATGACTCTTTAAAGTTCTTCACTAATCTCTGGTGAGATGACTTGGGAGGCAACTGGGCTCTGCACTAAAGTTTGAGGAGGAGCTGGGCGATCACCTGACATAAAGGACCATAAGGTGTTTTATTTAAGAGATATTGTTTATACTTGAAAGAATGACAGAGAAATAATGCTTAAAAGCTTGGCTATTTGGTCAATATTTCTCAAAGAATGAGTAAAGTAAGGCTGTGACCTCAAGAAACTTTGAGCTGAGATGAGGATTATAATACTACAAAAGGGGCTGGAAAGATGGGTTAACAAGAGTATGTTGGCCTTTAGGGGGCACGTGAATTTGGTTTCCAGCACCGTGTCAGGCAGCTCAAAACCACCTGTAACTGAAGTTC